AAGAATCATTATTGAAGATGTGATGTATGTTCATGAGATGAAGTGCAATCTCATGAGCATTGGTCAATTGATGGAGAAGGGATTCTTAGTGACCATGGATGTTGAGCGTTTGAAGTTGTTTGATGCAAAGAAGAATTTGATGCTTAAATCAAACATGTGAAAGAATAGAACATACAAATGCAACATCTCAAGTGAAAAGATGATGTGCATCTCTGCAGCAGTGAGTGAAGATGTTGAAGATCTGTGGCACAAGAGGTATGGTCACCTAAACTTTAGAAGTCTTAGTTATTTGAATTCTAAAGAACTAGTGTATGGCTTGCCAAAACTGAATGTCAGAAAATCCATTTGTGAAGTATGTGTAAAGATCAGGCAAAGTAGGTTTTCCTTTGCTTCTGAAGCACCTAAAAGAGCTAGTGTAGCACTGCAGGTGGTTCACTCAGATATATGTGGTCCTTTTGAAGTATCTTCAAGGGGAAGCAAATACTTTTTCACATTTGTTGATGAATGTACAAGGATGATATGGTTGTATATAATCAAGCTTAAGAGTGAAGCTTTAGATGTATTCAAAAGATTTAAAATCTTAATAGAAAAGGAGAGTGATAAATCTATTAAAACCTTGAGAACTGATAGTGGAGGGGAATACACCTCAAAATAATTTGAAGCTTTTTGTGTCAATCAAGGTATTGTGCATGAAGTAACTGCTCCATATACACCTCAACATAATAGACTTGTGAGAGAAGGAATATAACTCTACTGAATATGGTAAGGAGTATGATCAAGAAGAAAAACCTACCACACAAGTTTTGGGGTGAAGCATTCACTACTGATGCTTACATTATGAACAAGTGTCCTACAAAGAAGATGGGTTTAAAGGTACCAGACGAAGCTTGGTGTGAAAGAAAGCCTAGTGTGAAACATTTCAAGGTTTTTGACTCTTTGTGCTACAAACATGTACCAGATGTTAGAAGAAGCAAGCTTGAAGATAAGAGTGAGATTATGATACTTATAGGCTATCATTCCCCAGGTGCCTATAAGCTTTATAATCCTATAACTCAAAAGGTACACGTCAGTAGAGATGTGATTGTGAATAAGGCTGAGAAGTGGAAATGGGAAGAGGAGCCAGTATACAGTAAAGAAAATCAACAAAGCTGCATTTATCTTGATTCAAGTGATGAATCAAATAATGAAGAAGTGAACAATAATGATAAAGATGAACCAGAAGAAGAGGAAGCAGTTGTGAGACCTCAAAGAATCAGACAAGCTCCAAGAAGGTTGAATGACTGTGGAATAATTTTTTATAATGCAGTAAATGATGAAGGTGATATTATTCACTTTGCATTGGTGGCATATTTTGAACCTCTCAAATATAAAGAAGCATTGAAGATAGGTGTATGGAGGAAAGTTATACTGGAAGAGATCCATTCAATTGAAAAGAATCAAACCTGGGAGCTAGTTAATTTTCCAGATAAGAAAAAGAAAATAGATGTGAAGTGGGTGGTCAAACTGAAATTAAATCATGATGGGAAAATTTCAAAGTATAAGGCAAGGTTGGTGGCTAGAGATTTCTTACAAAAACATGGTGTTGATTACAATGAGGTGTTTGCTCCAGTTGCAAGCTTGAAACTGTAAGGTTAGTTGTGGCTCTAGCTTCCAATAGAAGGTGGTCACTTTATCATTTAGATGTGAAATTGGCCTTTTTAAATGGACCACTTGAAGAGGTAGTGCTTGTGTCACAACCTCCTTGCTTTGAAGTCCGAGGCAAGGAGATCATGATGTATAAACTTCATAAGCCTTTGTATGGTTTGAAGCAAGCCCCTAGAGCCTGAAACAAGAGGATTGATCAATTTATGAATGAAATAGGTTTCAAAAAAGTGTTCAGCAGAGTTTGGTGTATGTGTGAAGTTCAAGTGAAGAAGAAACCATGATAATATTCCTATATGTGGATGATTTGCTCATTACTGGAAGCAAGACATCAGAGATTGAAAAGGTGAAAAACAAGTTAAAATTTGAAATTGAAATAACTGATCTAGGGGAATTCTCATTCTTCTTAGGAATGGAGTTTTTGAAGGTGAAGAATGGAATAATTATGCACTAGTAGAAGTATATAGATGGACTACTTGAGAAATTTGAAATGAATAGCTGCAATTCAATTTCAAATCCATCAGAGACAAACTCAAAATTGGATGAGTGCAGTGAGGAAGAAAGAGTGGATCCAACATTGTTCATACAAATGGTTGGTTCATTGAGATACTTGTGTAACAAGCAGGCCTGACATTTGATACTCAGTCAGTGTGATTAGCAAGTTCATGCATGATCCAAAGACTCACTTGATAGCTGCTAATAGGATACTTCTATGTACTACTGGCATGGCTTATGCCTTTTTAACAATAAATTTTTTTTGCTTTATCCTTTAAAAAAATATTAACAACACAACAATCCTAGACCTAAGACCCTTGCTCTAAACATGTTTCAAGAGCAGCTATACTAAAAATATAAATAAATATAAAATATAAAATTATACTAGAAGTCCTTTTAATTTTTTTTTCTTCCAGATTTATCTTTTAATTGTTTTTAACAACTTCGTTCTTTACGGCGATTTATATATTGCTACTCTCACATTTTAAATATTTTAAAATGTGCGGTTATTGTATATGTAGTTAAATTTTATCATTTTCATACCACTAAAAATAATTGTATCCACAATTAACACTTTAGTTGTTTTAAAAAAAAAAGATAATTGTACACACGTTGATAACTTAAAAACTAAGTTGTTAAAAAAAATTTGAGAATCCAATTTGTTATCCAAAAATAACTTAACGGATCTCTGATGTAATTTCGCAACAAAAAGAAACAACAACAAAAATGCACTTAGAGATACACTATATGGATAAGTTCCCCTCATTGTTCCCAAAGTTGGGATTAGATATGAACAAATTTGAACCCCCGATTGAAATTGACCGATCCATTGTCTTTTTTGTATAAATAAATGAATCAAGTTGGGTGTCAAGTTGATTCAGTTGTTTAATTTGGATAATATATGATTGTTTTGTTTGAGCTCGAATAATAATTTTGGATCCGTCGAAAATTGAAACGAATTGCACCTAATTAATATTTGTTTTAGTTATTTTTATTACTATAAGACTGACTCATTATAGAAATGAAGTTCATAATATTGTCAGATTATTAACATTTTTTAATCTAATGATGGTATTGTCTATTCACAAGAATAAAAGACACGCAATATCAAATTTTGAATATTTTTTAGTTTGTAATTGAAAGTATGATAATGAATAATTTAACTTCAAATGATATTGAAAATATTATCATAAAATAATATTTTTTTCAATAATAAAAAATTTCCCTTCTTTACGCAATTCTAAAATTTTGATGTTTTTTTTAAAAAGTTAAAAAAAATAAATGTTTGCAATTTTATAAAAAATAGCTATTTTTCTAAACATTAAATCAAGAAACTAATTTGATTTAGCCGTCAAACTAATATAATCAAATTTGCCAAAATTTGAAACTTTATCAATCGAAATTGAATCTTAAAAATAAAATCGTAATTTACATCGGATTTAAATTTTAAATCATAAGTCAATCGGTTGTCCGCTTTAGTTGAGATGAAACTCCTATCTTAATCATGATTGACCCACAAATAGTGACAAAAAATTCACCCATGTCTCTTGGAGCTTAGTTTCTTAGATAGGAGTGAAATAAGATGATTCACCATAGTTACATCATGTATCATTTCTTCTCATCTCTTCCTTATAACTAGTGTGAAAATAAATCAGACCCATTAAGAGGGATCTACGATTTAATCTACAAATATTTATGCCAGACTAGACATTTTTTTAATAGAAAAGTTCTAGATTTTTATAAATCTATTTAGTTAAAATTGGCTAGATTTTCGGCCATAAAAACTCTTTTAAATCTATATTAGTCTGATCTATTTAAATAAATATAAATAATTTTTTATTTATTATTATTATGTTATGTTTTTACTTTGAATTATAATACATAAATAAAATTTAATTATTTTAGAGAATTTATAAAAATAAGATGAAAACATCTCATAAAAAACGTCATAAGTTATTTTCATAAGATCTCTTGAACAAATAGTCTCACAAAATTTATACTAATACGTAAATTAAAATAAGTCAATGGAAACAAATTTTTAGTCTCAATAATCTTTTAATTTGTTAATCAATTTCAATATTATTTAAATTACTTATTTACATTGTTTAAAACAAATAGCTTTTTATGCTGATTAACAGACTAACCAAACCTTTGAAAAGACTAGACTCGGACTTTAAATTAAACCTATAACATGCTATAGATCAAACTAGAACAAATTTAAATTTGGCAAAATCTAACTCAGTTCAACCGATTTCCACCCGTACCCATAACCTGTAAACATTATCAATTATCCATAAATCATCTATTCATTTCATTGAACTCCGTAACATCATCCTCAACTTGATCACGCTTTTCCAAAGTCACCACTAGATTCACTACAAACTTGTTCTATTTTTATAATGCACTCCTGCATCCCTCCCGTTTTGAAAAACTTTCATAGCATTCAAAAAATACAAAAATTAACTAAACCACCAGATGGATAAATCGGAATAAAAAGTGTTAACAATAGAGATAACAAAATAACGAAATGAGAAAGATATTGCATTTTCTATTAAACTAAGTTTAACTATAACAAAAATAACAATTACATATTATATCATCTATCAGAATTAACATGCTAGTAAGCATGCTATATGATTTTAACACCAGTCGATATATGAAAACCTCCCTTATTGGTAAACTCAAATGTGTAATTAAGTACAAAGGAACCAGTTTGGGAAAAAAATTTCCAAATTCCTCAAAGAAACACACCTTATTAAGATTTTATACTGCATGACATCTATCATATATTACAGCCTTTTATTTTAGGCACAACATAAGCTTTAAATTTCTTATAAAATCATTTATTAAACTAATTGAGAAACTTAGTTCATCCATCCATGCATGAAGTCATTCGGATTCTGAGATGAGGAACCTGCAGCTCCTCCTGACTCATTTATCATTGAAGAATTGTAGCTGTATAGAAGAAAGATGAATCAGCTTCTTGAAAAAAACATTATCTATTTAAGATTGACCACAATTAGGAAGACGAAAAATACCCAATTTGTAATGTACTATTGCAACATGCTTTCTCATAGTATCCCTCTGATTGGTGAGGGGGGCAGCTATAGGGGCCATTTTGCTCCCTAGATTCCCATGTTGGTTGAAGGGTCGCATTAATTTCCTCCAACTATGAAATTCACAAGGACATTATAGACTCCATCAAATGAGGTGGTACACAATGAAAACAAAAGATGAAATTGGACCCTATAACTTTCTTCAAAGTATAATTTCTATAAAAAAAAAAGTCAAAGATTTAATTATGAATGATATACACAAATAAAAGCTATGAAACACGAAATCCGACACAAATATCAGGACATAACACGACACTGTCAGTATGATATTTTATAATGTAAAAAACATACACCACCAAAACTCACACATATATGATAATATTTGAATTTTATTTATTCATCTATTATTTAAAAAAAAAATTATTCTTATCAAAAATAATATTTTTAATTTTTCATCAATTGTATTATTTAAATATATGTATAACTCGTTTAGGTTTGCATGATATTTTTCCAAAAAATATATAAGGTGTGCAACATGAAAGAAATTTTTTTTTTAAATTATTAAAATTGTACGACACATATTATTGGAATGTTATACGAGTAACTATAACGAATCAAAGAGTAACGAAACAAAACAAAAAAACTAATTTTATAAAGACATTTATCTAACTTTTTTGACATGTGTCATATAGATTTTACGCAAATATCAAACACCGATGCGATACGTTTCAGAAACTAATGTTGCGCTTAGAGGTGTCTCATTCTTCATAGTTACATAATGAAATATTAGTCTGATTTTGATGAATAACCTTGTAAAAAAAAGTAATCTTTTTCGGTTCACAAAATAAATAGAAAGAAAAATTGTACAAGGATTGAAGATGAGGTTGAAACATATCTGCATCATATCTAACAACTTTATTATATAGGTTTTGTTTTATACCTTGTTCCTGAGGATATTATTAGTCTCCAGTAGCATCTCTTCCTGTGTCCATAAAAAAGGAAGTGGACCAGCCTATAAGTACATACACGTATTAAAGCAAGATATAGAAAGTGTAAACAAGGTTTACCTTTCTTTGCAAATCTGTGAGTTGATCAAGCATATGCTGTGTCTGGAGACAAAGGAACATTATATAAATAATAAGTTTTTAATAAAAGTATATATCATAATCTAGTACATAATCTTATGATTATTGTGTCAAGAACTTGTAGCATCTTTTGGAACATGATATATCTTATGGAATATTTCCTCATATCTTGATGTAAACGATAAGTTATTTCTAGAATAACACATAATCTTCATTCCTCATATAGACACACAAAGTTTGTCTAATTTTCTCAACTTTAATACATATTTACATTCTATCTCTGTTTTTCTTTTTTATCAGCATAGAAAAATATTATATAGAGAAGTGTAAATTTAAGGTCCAAATTATTTTTATGTCTATCTATCTCTTATTTTATTTTCCTAGTCTAAGAACTAATTTCTACATGTTATATCTAAAGACAAAAATGTATGTACAAATTCCAACATATTTCTATGTTATATATAACCTATGCTAAAAAAAACCATCACCATCACTCCTTTGCAATTCTAGCACAGATTCAAAGTGCATATGGACCTCTCCAAAAATAGAGTGGATTTTAAATGATATGTTTACACCAATATCGTACACTAACTACATTGTATGTACGGTTCACAAATATGATAAACAGTGTCGTGAATAGTACATGAATAATGCATAAACAGTGCATAGATAATATCAAATGAATAATATACATGTGCGTGAACATTACCCGTAAATAATATCCATACACAGTACATGAACAGTAAACTTTTATAGTAAAACAAATTTTTAAAGAATTGATATCCTTCAAATTTTGAGGTCACAATCTTGAATATGGTTCGAAAGAATTGGATCCTTTTTAAAGTTTTTTTTTTCTTAAAAATCACTTCGAGAAAGGTTTCCAACCTGTGATAATCTTTTGACTAAGACTATGCCACATGACCCGTTTTCCACTTTGTAAGTTTACTTCTCTATAGAAGTTAGCCCTAGACATGTTCGGATTTTGCAATTACCAAATAATATTCAATTATCTTCTTAAAAAGGATTATTGAGAAAATGTTCAAAATATTCTTGCTCTTTCAACGAGTGGTTTGTGTTCTCACATATAAATAGTGTCGATGTTTCCAAATAGTCTCATTTAAGATGAATTTATTTTTTGGCCTTTATGTCATCTCTTTCTCGTATTTAATTTTGGCTATGGATGACTTAGGTGATTTTGGTGTATTACCTCTTAGATTTATTGGTTCTTTTTTTATTTGGTTGTATTGAATTTTTTCGTGTTGTTTCAACTCTCAATGATTTTCACTCACAAATACACTAGAGTAAACTTATATCTTTTTTCTAAAATTCCTAACAGCTAAAGTTGTTTACAATGTATATCCCAATCTTAAGAGTCTTACTAAAAAGTCTCAACATAAAAAATCCTAGTACATCATTATGCTCTCCATTTTTTACTCTCTTTGGGTTTTAATAACTCAAATTTAAAAAGAATACTCAACAATGATTTTAATCACCTTAAAGGTTGATTTGTATCGCCTTATAACGATAAGGAATTGAATTTTTATACCATTCTGAAGCTAAAAACACAAATTTGAAGGCATATTCACCATAAATCTCCATTTTGATTTTAAATTTCTTTGTCGCTCTATCGAACTTAAGATCATCGTTCAATAATTTTCTTGGATACTATCATTTTTCTAATGAAATATAAACTAATGTAAATGTGCTTTGTCTTTTTATGATATATATTGATGTTTCGTCAATCGAACTACATTACGATTCTTACAATGTATCTTCACACATCCTTGAGTAATAGCATCCAAAACACACCATTCAACCTTATGGTATCTTTAGCTCTTTCAATTAGGAAATACAATCTACGATATTTTGGATCGAACTCTAGTGTCAATAAGGGTAGTTTGATATTTCGACAAGAGTTGTGCATTCTGTATTCGAAGTCTGTTCAAGCATGCTATCGAAATATATTAACTTATAATTTAAGTTAGTATGTCGAATTGAACTTTGGTTGTAAGTCCAATTGTTTAAGTTAGCTTGTTTCCTAAGTTAGAATAATGGGCATGTGTGTAAAACCCCATTAAGTTAATATGTTAGCTTTCTTATAAATAGGATGCTAGTCTCGCATTTTTAGGGTGTGGTGCAAATCTTAATTAAGGTGAGAGAGGTTAATTGTTAGTATTCACTTTTAATCTTTGAATCCTTATTGAAAAAGTGAATAGTAAAATAGTTTTAACCAATTATCTATTCTTCTTCTTCCTTCTTCTCTCTTTTATAAAAACCTAATAGGGTTTCTTGTCTTTGTTCAAGAAACTCAATCTTTTTCTCATATTTTGATTTGTTCTTGTCAAGATCAATTCACAACAAACTGGTGCGATGAACGTGAAGGAGAAGATGTCGTCATCAAAGTATGAGATTGAGAAATTCACCAATGTTAATGATTTCAGTTTGTGGCGCTTGAAGATGTCAGGGCTTCTTGTTCAAGAGGGTTTTTTAGAAGCGTTGAAAGGATCAGAGATGATGAATGCTAGTTTGTTACCTTATTTGTGTAGAGTTTGTTCCTTGTTGGATATTTGTGGTATTTTGGATCGAAATCTAGTGTCGACAAATGTAGCTTGATATTTTGACAACTGTAGTCGAAGTTTGTTCAAGCTTGCTGTCGAAATATATTAACTTGTAATTTAAGTTAGTATGTCAAATTGGGGTTTAATTGTAAGTCCAATTGTTTAAGTTAACTTGTTTTCTAAGTTAGCTTGTGTAGTGCGCCTGTGTGTAAAAGCCCATTAGGTTAGTATGTTAGTTTTCTTAGCTAGTCTTTCACCTTTGGGGTGTGGTGCAAATCCTAATTAGAGTGAGAGAGGTTAATCATTGCTATTCACTTGCAATCTTTGAACCCTTATTGAGAAAGTGAATAGTAAAACAGTTTTAACCAATTCTCTATTCTTCTTCCTTATTCTCTTCCTTTTGCAAAACCTAATAAGGTTTCTTGTATTTGTTCAAGAAACTCAATATTTTTCTCATATTTTAGCTTGTTCTTGAAGACATCAATTCAAAACGCAATCCTATTGAGTTGTAGATAATGTAAAAACAAAACTAGACAAGATTTTCTTAGTGTCATATTTCTAACATAATTTGCACCTACAAAATCCTTTAAATGGTCTTCTTCTTGAGATATTTTGTTCTATTTCAAATCGACCATTAGTGATCCAATTAAGTATCTCAAAGCTTACTTCAAAGCTTCTTGGTACACTTGACCTAGATTTCTCATAAATTACTCACTATGCTAATCATATATGTTAAGCCTGACAAATCCAACCATGTCATACAAGATGCTCTATATCCCACTAGGAGTAGTCTCGATCTTCCTTTTTTTTCCTTTATATTAAGGGTCTTGTTTAATTGAAATTAAGATGTGATGATCAAAAATAGTGATGATATGTTTAGTTTCATATATCTTAAATCACTCCACGAGTCTCTTAAAGTAACCAAACTAAGATTTGAGTAAATCACCCTTATTTTGGCTCATCATAATATTCATTCCAGGTATCCTCTTTTTATTCCCAAGATCCTTAATCTAAAATCCAATATTTTATCCCCCCCTTGAGCCTATTGATATCCACAATAATAGACTTTAAGACACATATTGAGGTTTGGAATGAGAAACTGATAGGCTGCTCTAGTTTAAAAGTTTCTGAGCTTTGGTGTTTGTGTATATCAAACAAGATAAGCTTGATGCTAAAGAATTGTAATGTGACTTCATTGGTTATTTTGAGGTTGTAAAAGGATACAAGTTATGGAAGCTGAAACCTAAAGAATCAAAATTCATTATGGTGTGAAGGGAGGTTACTTTTGATAAGACGTGTATGGGATGAAGTTCAAATATTTAGAAGTTCAAAACTGAGAAACTAAGATAGAGAAAGCTCAGTTTAAAGTGGAGGTTCCTACTAGTGAGAGTAGATATGATGAAAATGTTGAGACTCTCACTTCAAGTTCTAGAGAAATGCCATCAATATTGGCTACAGACTATCAGTTGGCTCATATATAGCAAGTGGGAGATTGTAGCACCTCAAAAATATGGTTACCTTGATCTTATTTTTATGCTTTAAATTTTGTTGAAGGGTTGCAAGGTTCACAACCAAAACCCTTTGAGGAGGAATTTGAAAGACAAGAGAATGAAGATGATAAGTAGTGCTGAACAAGGAAATGCATTTATTGGAGAAGAATTATATTTAAAACCTTATGAAAATATCTAAGAGGCAAAAGGTGCTTGAATGCAAGTGAATTTTCAATAAGGGGAATGTATTACGATAATTTAAACGTCATGGTATAAAATAATTCTTGTTAAAAAAGGTTTAACTCAAAGTGAGGGAATTGATTACAAAGAAATATTTTCATCTACGGCAAAACATTTTTCTATAAGGTTCTTCTTATGGCTATTATGAATCAATAAAAACTTGAGTTGGAGAAAATGGATGTTTAAAAAATTTTCTTACATAGAGACCATGAAGACAAAATCTATGAGGTGTGTGTCTCTTTAGAGGAAATATTGGTATTGGTTGAAACAAAACCCTAGAAAATTATATCATCGATTTGATGAATTTTTTTCCGAAAGAATGGTTTCGTATAGAGTCGGTATAAAATTTGTGTGTACATATTGAAGAGGATTGAGGAAATAATTATATACCTTCTTTTCAATTCTGATCATACCTTTATGGCAAGCTCTAGCACAAAAGATGATGGTGTTAGATGCCCAACTTTGCTTATTTGAACTATCAAATGTGGGCATCTTTCACTCCTTTTTGTAGAGAAAGTGTTAGAATCATTCTTGCCTTGGTTGATTTGCACCATATTGTGAAAATCTCTTGGTTCCTTTGATTTGTGTGCTATTGTGCAGGAATTAGGCATGAAAAATTGAAGAGTAAGACAGAAGAAGTATGACAAAGAAACCAAGTCAGCATGCAAACAACAACAAGTTCGCACTGCAAACTTGCTAGCGAAGCTGCCAGAAAAACTTCAACAAGTTCGCACAG